TCTTCTTACTGAGCTATGTCCCAGGCCCTTCTCGTGAGCCAGGGTCTTTCTTGTTAAATTGCTCAGATTCGCCTCAAATTTATGATCTTCCTGACTTGACTTTCCAAAGTTCTGGCATTACAGGTGTGGGCCACTCTGCCTGGCTCAGGTTCAGCATGTTTATTAAGCTGATGCTCGCAACATGGCCAGACAGCCCTTGTGTCCCACCTTAAAGACTGCTTTGTCCAGCATGAGGACGGCAGAGTGCTTGGTAAATGTCCCCTTGGTGCTGAAGATTTCCAGGATGCGCGTGTGCGTGCACACACGCACACACACACACACACACACACACACACACACGCCCTAGGATTATTGCACAGCTCCCATGGGGAGGCTGCAACCTCAGAACCTCCCATCCCCTCAGGCCTGACCTGGTATCATATCTGCTATTGCTTCCGGACTCTGGCAGGGTTTGCTTTTCCTCCCTCTTTGCTCTCACTGAGTTTCTGTCTCCATCAGACAGTCTCTAGTCATTACTGTGCCCCTTTCTATCACTCCTTTCTGCCCGTTTGTTTTTCTTGGCCCAGACTGTCTACTTATCCTCTATCTTCTTCTTGCTTTTCCTCTGCCTCTGGCTCTATTTCACCTGTACAGGTTCCTGGACGATGATTTCCAAACCACCAGATATGGTTTGAACATTATATCTGACACTTCGTGAAATTTGTTTTTTCCTGGGACTCTGCCTGCAAATGTGGTCCACGGGGAGGCACCCAGCCCCACCATGGAAGCTTGAGGCCGGTTTCATTCTCACCATTGTTAGATAGGCCCCACACTGGCCTCCTTCCAGACTCCTTCCAGGGGTCAGTGATTAGTTCTGTCTGTCTGTCTGACTGAAACACAGCTGAAGATATTTTTAAATTAGAATTAACCTAAAAATCCCCGCCCCTGGGTTTCTGTGGCTTCACACCACTAGATCACAGCCATCTTTTTTTTTTTTTTTGTCTCTGCGGTGCTGGGCCTCTGGCGGGTATCTGCTACTGCTAGTGCTACCTGTGTCTCTCATGTCTTCCACCCTCTGTCTCTAACCACCCTGAGCACCCCCCTGCCCAGAGTGGGAGAAGCTCACCTCCTTCCCTGATGGTCCCCCATCCTGCAATCCAGCAGCTGGTATTGGCAGGGAGCTGGACTGAGGAATCAGGCAGGCAGATAGGCAGGACTCGCTCAGAGAACTGAATGGGGTGTTCAAGGCGCACCAGCGCGATGTCTGCACGGGCTGCTTCCTTCCAAGAGTACTGGGGATGGGGCAGCACCCAGGCAATGCCCACCTGCTGGGCCCTGGGGCCTGGAGTCCCCAGTTGCCAGGCCCCCAGCAGCACAGAGAACAGATCCAGCTGGTCTAGGTCACTGGAAGAAAGGGAAATGGGTCAGTCAGCTTGACCTGGAAGAAGTCATCAGACACCAGCAAGGACCCGGAACCGGGACAGCAGGACAAGCTTCTGGGCAATGCAGCGGGTAGGGAGGAGTGACGTGTCTCTACAGAGGGCGCTGCACTTAGACAGAGACCTGGGCTGGGGTTATGTGGGAGCCTGGGACCAGAAAGTTGGGTCCTGGTGTTCAGGACAACCCACTCACACGTACCCCTTGAAACAGTGGGCGGCGGTGACCACCCAGCGGTTGGTGAGCAGGGAACCTGCGCAGTGGTGGGTGCCGTTTTTCCGGATGCTCACAACCCAAGGCCACTCGCCATCCATGCTGTCCTCCCCGCCCACGATCCGGTTCAGCAGCTGGGGCTTCCCGCAGTCAGGGGGCGCTGGAGGAGGGGGTCAAGTTTTCTGTCACTGGCAGGTACAGATGTCTCCCACCTGCCTACCACTTGCCCCAGATCTGCAGACCTGTGCCTGCGCTGCTGCCTCTGTGGCCCGTTGTGCCCCCTGTGCTCCCCTTGCTCTTTCTAGCCCTTTCTCCTGCTGGCCCTAAGGGGCCTATCCCAGCCCTTCCTTAGCACATCCCCTCTGGCCCTGTCTGCCCATTGTCCTTTCTGCCCTCTGGCTCCTTTCCTGCCTTTCTTCCTCTCCTGCTCAGTCCCCTCCTTCAAGCCTGTCCTCGCACAGATACACAGACCTTGTCTGCCTTTAGGTCCCCACCCTCAACCTCCCAGAGAAGGCTCTAACTCACCAGGGATCTTGGCACCATTGATGGAGACTGAGGAAAACAGCGAGAGAGGAAGCAGGTCAGGTTGGCAGTGCAGGAGACTCCATCCTCAAGCAGGCTTCAGGCCACAGAGCCCCAGAACCTCAACCCTCACTGCCCAGAGGTGGCCTCCCCCTCCCTCCACCCAGGCAGGGGCCAGTGGCAGGGAGAGTGGGGAGAAAGAGGCACAGGACCCACAGACTCAAGTCTCAGCCTCCCCTCCCGGCTCTATGATATTTGGACAGGGCTGTCCCAGAGTATGGCCAACTGACCCAAGATGCCACCCAAAGGAATGAAGGGAGATGAGGGAGGACTCAAACTGGTAAAAAAAAAATAACTGCAAAAGAAGTGCACTGGGCATTCACCTATGTGCGTCACTAGCCCTCATGGCTGTGGGGGAAACTGAGGTACTGCTAAATAACATGCCAGGAAGAGAGAGCCAAACAAAAAGTCAATGGCAATGGCAAGGGACAGACACTGTCTCCAGGCAAGACCCTGAGGGAAATGAGGTGACCCTGGATGGAAGAAGAGGACAGAGGGGGTGGAAGGAAGGAAGAGTGGAGCCCCAAGACTCACCTGTGGAAACCAGAAGGAACAGGAGGATGAGGCTCCAGAGACAGCCCCCACCCCGGGCTCCGAGAGGTCTGGAAACCACCATGTTGGTGGGGGTGGAAGCTCAGCCAGACAGCGATCTTGAGGGAACAGAGGCTGTGCTTTTGGGGATTGGCGACCAGCACGAGGAGAGGTGGAGAGGCTGTACTGTACAGAGTCCTGCAGGTCACCCCAGGTTTTATCCTGGGAGGCGGAATGCTGTTGGACCAGTCTCCCAGGTGGCTTAGTGTGGGCCACCCAGGCTGTGGGTCACAGGGGAGGCGGGGCCACGGGGAGGAAGTGGCCGTTAGAGGGGCTGGGGTGCTGTCCGGATGCAGTTTCTGAGGGGTGGGGGACAGGTGTGTGGAGATAAGCCCAGGGTCTGGGCTGTGGCCCTGACTGCCCAAGGGGCAGACAGAAGGCCTCAGGACACTGAAGGGGGTCCAGGAGGGGGAGGAACACTCTGGAGTGGCCAAGGTTTGCTCCAAGTGTTGGAAGCTGACAGGAGGCACCATCTCAGTAACGGCTCCCACCTACAGGGGGCCACACTGCTGTGACTCAGGCTGGGACAGACTGGGCCCAACCTGGGCCTCTGGAATCCCGTTAACCCACTTCCAGAAGGCTGTGACTCAGACAGCGTGGCCAAGCACAGTGGCCTTGGGCTGATGGCCCAGCCATCCCTGGAGCACCTTCCTGTTGTCACTAGGGTGCCCAGAGGACCTGACTCTTCACCTGGACTCCTGAGACAGGGAGGAGCCAGTGGTCACTTGGGTAGGGCCAACCCCAGTGTCCACAGCCTGCGGCACTCTGAGCACTACCTGGAAAGGGCTGGGGCTGGGACCCCATGTCCTAGGCCCACACAGCTTCAAAGGCTGGGTAGGGGTAGCTGCTGGCCTTCCTGTCTTATATCCTGCACTCATGACACCCCCACTGCAAGCAGGAGCAGTGTCACTCCCTCAACTTACAATTCTCCATCCATTTCTGTCAAGTGAAATGCCACACTGCCACCAAGGAGAGCGTGGTGTGCCCTACACATCCCCATGCTGCAGACAGGAAACCGAGGCTGTGAGGAGTGGCTGGGTTTGGCCTTGATCTTGAAGTGATGCTATTGGGCCTAGACTCAGGGGACCTCAGCCCCAGACACAGGTCACTGTCACTGTTGCCCATGGTCACAAGGGTTGGAGGAGAAAGGAGAGGAGGCATTCAAAAACTGCCAGGAAGAAGAGGCCATGGATGGATATCTAGCCTGAGAATGAGCCAGAACATATGGGAACATCCCCTGGGATGATGGGGACATGAGGGCAGAGGCTGGAAAAGAGAAGGGACTGCTGAGCCCAGCCCTGCATCCTACAAGGCCAGAGCACCTCTGGAACCCCAGTCAGCCACCCGCTCTGTCCCAAGGGGTCAGGCAGGGTAAGAATCGGACCGAGCAGCCTCCCCCATACTGCGGGGAAGCAAAAGCAAAGGCTCGGCGCTTTCTGCAGGCTCCTGCTTGTGCAGGAGGCAACTCCAGTTCCCAAGGAGGGTTGATGAGAGCTGACAAGCCCACCACCCAGCAACACCCTCTCAGTCCCAGGAGCCCCTAATGGGGCCTTATCCTGTGTCCCAGGATTCTGGGTGTCACCGCAGGAAAGCACCATGCTTAGAGGTGAAAGGGAGCCTCGATGGCATCAGAGCAGAGACGTCACTCCCTCCTGTTGGGGCTACCCCTGCACCCACACTGGCCAAGCCTCTGTGCACCTGCTGCACGCATGCCCTGTACTGGCTACCAGGACACACAGCAATGAACAGAACACAGTTCTATGCTGAGAGGCAGGTGACCACAGTGATGCAATGGGGCAGCGGCACAGATGTTGGAGGGCCATGCAGTGCCCTGTGCTGCGTGCCACATGACTCTTCGAGCCACAAGGGGTGCGAGGAGGAGCATTTCCCAAGGATCCTCAGGATTGAGTTTGGTCCCTGCTGCACACTGGGTCACAAGCAGTGCTTGTCAAATGAACAAATAAGTGTGGAAGATATGGGTGTGGGGGGTGTCCTCTTCTCTCTACCCTTCCCAGCTTCTCTCATTCCTAATACTTGGCCCACCCCCGGGGATCCAGGGGGTAAGCACTTGCCCCCAAATGTGGCAGTCCTTAAGATAGGGCGGCTAGGACAAAGAGTCAAGGGGAAGGTTCCTGGAGCAGCTAGAGGAAGCCCGGAGAAGCTGGTGGAGACTTCCTGGCATGGGTCCTGCAGAAGAGCCCCAGAGACTGGTTCCTCAATTCCTAGGGTGTGGAAGGCACAGCCCCGAAGGCTGGGGGTGGAGAACCTGGCATGACTCAACATTCATTCAACAAGATGTTTACCGAGCACCCACCACGTGGCCAGCTCACACCAGCACCCTGGCTGGGCATCAGTTCGCTGTGGCCGAGGTGGATGAGCTGCCCACCCCTGACACCCACACCACACTTGGCCCCTGCAGCCGGCCAAGCCCCATTGATCAATTCACACTGAGGTGCTGATGACTGATGGGGCCGCAGGGCCATTTGTAGGCTGACGGCAGCCGGAGCTGGCACTACCTAAGCCAGAGAAGTGACTCACTACACTGCTGGTTCAAATGTGGGCCGAGGAGTCTGTGGACATACTCTGAACAGGGGTATCCATTCATTATCCAACCAAAGACCACTGGACACCACCTACCTCTGCAGGAGATTGTGCTTGGTCCCGGAGTACTCAAAGAAAATGAGGGGACCCTTGCTCTCATTAAATCAATTGAGAAGCGTCACTGAGTACCCACTGTGTGCTGGGCAATGTCCTAAGCTGAAGAGACACAGTGGTGAACAAACCAAGGACAATGGTTGAGATAGAATTTTAAAAACAAGTATGCCAATTGGTCTAACAGACCATGAAATCCATGGGGTGAAGAGGGTGGAGATGGGTGAGGGGAGGTCCCAAGAGAACAGGAAGACAGCAACAGAGGGGGCCAAAAGGGGCAAGGTGGCTGACAGTTGGGAGTGCTGCGGTTTCCAGGAGCCCTAGGCCCTCCAGCCTCAATGGAAGGCAAGGAGAACCAATAGATTATTGGGGTCATCCAGGTGGAGTATTGTACATCTGCAATCCCAGCACTCTGGGAGGCTGAGACAGGAGGATCATAATTCAAGCCTAGGTCAAACAAGTTAGTGATTTAGTGAGATCCTAAATAAAACCCTAAAAGGGGGCTGGGGAGGTAGCTCAGTGGCACAGTGCTTGACTGGCAAGCACAAGGTCCTGAGTTTGATCCCAGTACCAAAAATAAAAAAGTAGAACCTGGGGCTGGCCTGATAGCTCAGCAGACTAAAGTGCCTGCTTAGGCAGAGGGCAGCAGCTGGGACTGGATCCCCGGTGGGCCATGCTGGCCCTGCCCATGAGGTGCGCTGAGATGGTGATTCAGTCTGGGTGTGCTGGAGCCCACCTGTAATCCCAGTGCTTGGGAGGCTGAAAATAGGAGAATCAATATGAGCCTGATCTATGTAGTGAGACCCTGTAGACCCTGTAGATCCTGTCCTAAATACAGAAAGGAAAAAAAAAAAAGTACAACCCAAAGGTCCAGGGATGTAGCTCACGCTAAAAGCCTGGCTTTCAATCCCTAGTACCATTAAAAAGCAAAAGCAAAAGGCTCACTGCAGAGGCCAAGGATGAATCAGGAGGAGAGTCGGGCCAAGGAGAGGTAATGAATGGGGAGAGGCCCATTTAGATCTTTCTGTAAGGTGAGACCTGGGAAAGGTCAGGTTTGAGGGGAACTGGAGTCCAGAGTGAGGGTGGGGCTACTGTCTTGAGCTGCTCAGGCACCCACAAGGGGATGCTCTGTAGTCAGCGGCCACATGGAAGTGACCCCTGTAGATGCCCATGCTCCTCACTTGTGGATCCAGCCTCAAAGAATAGGATGAAAACCTGGACAAAGGAGGTGTGCAGGTAGCCCAGGGATAGGCCTGGAGAGAACAAAGGACTGACCAGCACAGGTGGGGAGCCCCGGAAGGACCTACCCAGGAAGTTCAGAGTTGAAGCACAAGGGACAGGATGCTCAGTTGCTTTGTTTTGCTTTGCTTTTTGCTTTTTAATTTTTTGGTGCTGAGGACCACACCCAGGGCCTCCTGCTTGCTAGACAAATGTTCTACCACTGAGCTAAATCCCCAGCCCCTAGGATGCTCAGATAACATCTTTTTGCTTCTGCCACCAGAAGGCAAGGTCCCCCTGGGCCCCAGGAAGGAGCCTCTGTCCTGGCGCAGGGAGGTACTGGTGGCTCTGAGTGCTGGAGTCCAACCTGGACTAGACACACACACACACACACACACACACACGAGAGAGAGAGAGAGAGAGAGAGAGAGAGAGAGAGAGAGAGAGAAATGGGGGTCAAGTCCAGGAAGACCCTCAAGCGAGGACTTCTTGGGGACCATGGAGGTGGAGACAAGTAGCTGGCCAGTGCCAATGAGTAAACTGTTTCCGATTGGCTTCTGCTCGGTGGTACCTCTGTCCCAAACACCAGCCAGCTGACAGGCTCCTCTCCATGCATGACAACTGAAGAGAGGCAGGCAGAGCATTTCAGGTCCCACAGCTGGAAATTTGGGGGGTGGGAGGCAGAAGTGACTTGGAAGTCACTTGGATCCCCCTAAGAAGGGCACTAGAAGGAGGGCTCCCTGGGGACACAGAAGCCCAGCAAAGAACTGGAAGCGTGGAACTGGCCCTCTCTTCTGCAGTTAGATGCTCATAAAATTCTGCAGCGGCCAGAAGGTTACAGTTGCATCTTCTTCAAGCAGCAGTTGCCTGCAGTAGGCTGCTGGCAGAAGCAGAGCAGCCAGGAAGCAGAAACCAGGAATGAACTGGCTTTGAACTCTGGGCAAATTGCTTGGCTGCCAGGAGTCTCTTGTTTCCTTGCTAGGTCTAGGAGTAGTACTTAGACATAACAAGGGGTGAGGCACTGGCGTGTGCTATAGCAGGAAAGACACTGTGTAAATGAAAGAAGCCAGACACAAAGGGACAAGCAGCACAGGACTCTCTTATCTGAGGCACCTGGAATGGTCAAGCTCATTAAGCAGAGAGTGGAAGGATGGGCGCAGGTGCCAGGGAGAAGAGCAGGGTATTTGTGCTTGGTGGGTAAAGATCTTGGTTTGAGATAAATCCTGGAGGATGCTGGTGGTGATGG